TTATCTTTCCCTTTGGGCTTTCAAGTTTCTAAGTCAAGCGGTCCTTGACTTTGCGGGCTTGCAAGGGCTTCAATCCGAGCTCAGAGATCAAATCTGCTTCGGACAAAGATGCCAGCATGCGGCCATCCACCCCATTCTCCCGAAAGGCTTCAATCACATGCCCCAACTCCAGATGTATGATGTACCTGCAGACGTCATCAACAGTCCAGGCCAAACACAACATTCTCTTGGGCTCAGGTGTCTCACCCGACGATGTAGCCTCCCTTTTCGCAGGCTCAGAGCGGTGGCTCCTTGCTTGCCCTAGCTCCAACACGAAATTTGCAAAACAGGACTTGCAACCTTTGGCCACCTGGCTGGGAATGTTGACTTTGTGCTTGAATTCAAACACTTTCAGCCGCTTCACCATCATGTCGACATCGCCCTGCTTCAGCTTCCCTTTCAAGGCATGCAAATCTGCTTGTAAGGTGGTAATGAAAATAGGGTCGTCTTTCGTGTAACGCAAGTGGCCGGAAAACAAATTCTGCGGCCTTGCGATGACAAAGCCAGCGCCTTCAAACCACAATAGCTGCACCGCCCAGGAGACGATGTCCTCATTAAACCTCCAGTCATCGAGCCAAACCACTCTGGCCTTTTCCAAGCCAAGCAAAGGGAAGGCACTCTTTGGAGGGGTCACGAAAACATTGTCTTCACCAAAGACCAAGGGCAAGGGGCGAAACAAAAAGCTTTCGCCTTCATTACCTTCAAACCCTGCGTGGCACACAAGGTTGCCTTTCGAACGTCCTGCTAAAAGCGAATCCGTCACCGCCTTGCACCACTGGACTGGATTGTGCCCATTTTGGCAAAGGATGTCTCGAGCAAAGTCGGCCCATTGTCCGCCACAAGTGCACTCAGCACTGCAAGCTCCTGCCAAGATGTCCATGCGGCTCTGCGCAGCTGCTGCAACCAAGTCCTCAACCTTCTCAGTCTTCCATGACTTGGCAACAATGGCAGGAAGCTTGTCCCAGTTGGCAAAACAAAACTCAACCAACGCTCGGCCACCACTGCGCTTGGCATACGACATCAACTTTTCTCCGCACACTTCATCTGGCAGGATGTTTTCCCGGATAATGATGGGCCACAAATCCACTTCCCGGACACGCTGCTCTCCCTTGCCTTTGGCTGCACGTTTGCGCCTTTGCTCCTCACGATGCACTTCCAAATTCTTGGCGCTCACATACCCTCTACTGGCCTCAGACAAAGGTGGGTGAGTGGAAGGCCACAACTCAGGTGCGGGATCCAATTCTTCCACGGCTTTTGTGGGCGAAGGCAAGTAGCAGTAGGCAATGCAGCCAGCATACCCGTCTGTTTTTCCAGACCAATGACTGGCTAGGCCATGCGCAGCCAGCAGTTGGCGCTTCAAGGCCACGAAGCGGAAAGACTTGTCGGCTAACACTGCCACATGGTAATGAACTTCACCTGATGCGTGGCGATCCTGAAAGACTGCCATGTGTGTGAAGGTCAGAGGCAGCTCTCTGCTTGATTGGGTGGAAGCAAGAGCTCCTAAGAAAAAGTCTTTGACTTGCGCACGGGTGTAAGTCCCAGGAGCCACCAACTTTTGTCCATCTGAATTCTCTTCCTTGTCTGTGTGAGACAGCGTCACTAGGTAAGCTCTCCTCGGCTTGTTGCACTCAGCACCAAGCTCTTCACTACAGCTGGACGGTTGGCTTGCTTTCTTAGCTTCAAGAGATTCCACCACTTCTTTCAGCAAGGCGCTGAACTCATCCTTTCGAGCCTCCAGCCCATCAGGCTCCATCCCGCAAGCAACTGCAACCTTGGCTCTACACTCTTTGATGCTACACTGGTGCAAGTCAAGGTCCCTCACAAGTCGCCCTGCTACCTCCTTCAGTGTGTCTGCATCTGGCACATCTTGCGTCACTTCTGGCAACGCCGCAGCAGGCTCCACAGGATCCATGCTTTCCAAGCTAACTGTAAGACTGTAAGGCAACTGACTTCTACAAACCCAAAGCTTCAACAAGAATCTTCTAGCAATTTACGTTGGTTTGAGCCAGGCAAAGGAAACGAAAACACAACACTTCGAAGTCCACCTAAAATACTTCAAACAGAAGCGTGATGCTACCACGACGTGAATCCAGCAGCGGCAACCGCGCCTTGTAGATAAGCCTTCTCATGTCAAGCGGGCCCACACCTAAGCCACCCACCGTGATCATATATGTCAGCAACACTGTCAAAGAACTCGTGTAGAACAGTGAAACATGGGCACAAGGGAAGGTTCCAATCCACTGCCAATGTAGAAACACACATACAGAATTTGTTCAACGACACGTCGTGTGAAACATTGAAAACTGAAAACTAGATACAAAGTACAAAGACGTCTGCTTGTCTTTGGAAAAGGTCTTCCACGGAAGGCAAAGCTGAGTGCGGCGTATGTGTTAGGAAACGATGCTCCAGAGAATGCAAAGCCACGGCCAGGCGTACTAACTGCGCAATCTGAGCTGAGGTCGGAACAAGCCCACTCAATTGTGTCAAATTGTTTCAGCGTTTGCAGCAAGACTGTTACAAAACTCGTGTAGAACAGTGAAACATGAGCACCAGGGAAGTTTCTAGAATCCATTGCCATTGTAGAAACACACATACAGAAATTTGTTCAACCACACGACCGTGTGAAAAATTTGGTGAAAACTAGATACAAAGTACAAAGATGTCTGCTCGTCTTTGGAAACAAGCTTCAACCGAAGGCAAAGCTGGGAATGCACACTGCACAATCGGATCTGAGGTCCAGACAAACCCGTTTCGACACCTGCACCAAGGGACGTGTTAAAATTAGTAATCCAAAGCTGTTCAATGTCAGTGTTCGTCTTACCTCCTCTGTGCTCTAGGTATAGAGCAACAATACCAAGAAGATTGTAACGAAGCAGTGCGGCATTATGTGTTAGGAAACAGAGCTCAAGAGAATGTAAAACCACAGCCACAGCCAGGCCTATGAGCTGAGGTCGATGTGTAAAATTGTTTCAGCGTTTCAAATCAAATCCTCTGCGCCCTGAGCCGAAGCAGCTTGTAAAGAAGCAGCGCGTTTCGTTGGCATCGTGCTTCCACATAATGCAAAATGACCGGATGCCAATTTTACAATCACATGAAGCCATCGTCAAATATCAGGCGCTTTTGATAGCCATTTTCTCAGCAGGTATGCCTCGCCTCAGCAGCATGCCAAAACCTCAGCGCCAAGCTATTGACAGCTACTGTTCTGCAGCTTCTTGCGCTTCCCTGCGTTGTGTGGCCCCCAATGCAACTGACAGTGAAACACACAGTGAAACACGCAGTGAAACACACCACGAAACGCTGTAATTTACGACGTTTCGTACCCGCAGGAAGGAAAAGTGGGAAGTCTTTTGAATGCGGCAGCCCTACCTAGCTTGCTAAACGCAAAAAACTGTGTCAATTACCGTGTTTCGTGCTGTGTTTCACTGTGTGTTTCACTGTGCGTTTCACTGCGTTTCACAACGTTTCACAGCGTTTCACAATTTTGACAGCGTCTCGGCGTATTTGCACGATGTTTCACTGGGAATGCAAAAAGACTATATCCTTGGCCCTTTGAGTCGCAAGTCTGTCCATTTACTCGGACCCGAATGGCCACAGAATTGAAGCAATCAGAATGATGGAGCCGCTACCTAAATCGCCTGCGAGCCTGTTCAGGTTTGCTCACAGCTCTTTGGCAAGGCCCCGTCTCTCAGAATTGCCAGTCACTCATCCTTCCCAGCATAAAAGCAAGACAGAATGAAAGCGGATTCTACATGAAGAATAACTTGGAATACGCAATCACAACCGCCTTGCCTGCACCTACACCTTCTTGCGCAGCGGCCGGCGCAGCGGCCGCGGCAGCAGCGGCGTCTCTGTCAGCTTTCTCCTTCGCTTCGACCAAGCGCTTCAAATCTGCTGTGGAGAGCTGCTTGGCGGCCTGCTTCAACATAAAAAGGCATTACACAAGCAGGCGTCGCGCAATGCACCTTGACTAGACGGCTTTCGCGTCTCTTTGCAGACTGGCGGTCCATCTTGTTTTTCTTCATAGCCTGACACAAACAGAACCTACGGTCTGGAATGAAAAATCCAAAAAGCCGAATAATCTCACCTCGCGCAAGCTCTTCTTCTGGTCCTTCAAGTTCTTCAGCTCCTCTGCAAGGACTGCCTGAGCTCCCAGAGAAGGCACACAAACGGCTGAATTAGAATCTTTCAACCCAACACTAATGAGACGGCGCTGTCACATTGCCTAAGATGCAGATGCTGGAAAAACAGTGCCAGCAGCAACTCCTAGTTTAGCAGTCCAGAAAGCTGTCCAAATCAGACCCGCTGGCTGGGGCCTCCCCAGTCTGTGTTGGGGCCGGCAATCAATCCAACGTTTGAATGCGCGTGAACTCCAAGGCAGGCGTCCATTGCACCCACATTGGAACGTTGACGCGCGATCTACGTGGAAACATGGCAGAGGCTTGGCCCACTGCAGGAAGAATTTCTGGCACCGCTGGGCATGAGCTCCAACCCAAAGCTTCCAAAATCTTCGCAGAGAGCAGACTTTGCCCTGACATCAAACCTACTCGCTGGAAAGCTCGGCGCCAATTCTTCCCAGCAATAATCAATTGAATTGCATTGGAAACTACTTTCAGCCAAAGGGCCAGGGTCACCTCACCATCTTCGGCAGCGCCCTTGCAATCAAGCCACAACTCCTGCATCTTTGAGCGGAACTGACTGAAGACATACACGTCTAGGGGCTGTAACACCGCAGTCATGCCCGCCGGGATCAATATCATCCTGACTCCTTGCTCCAAGGCGTGCGAATGGACGCTTGGCTGTATGTGGCAAGCTGCCATATCAACAACCAGGAAAACAGTCCGTTCCTCCAGAATTCCTCCCAGCCGGCTGCAAAGAAGGTCGATGTATTTCTGCATGATCCTAGCATTGTTCCAAGAGCTCTCTTCCCGCCAAAGAAAAATGTTTGCAGGCAGCTCTGACTGCACAGCCCGTATTGTGCGTAGCACAAATTGGTGAGGATTTCCGAGCAATATCTGGGGCAACAAATCATTGACTGTAGGATCGTCGCAAATGGAAGCTATGTAGGTCAGAGCTCCCCTGCGCGCGCTGAGCTTGACGCTGTCCCCTGGGCGTAATGAAGTAAAAGGGCCCGTTTTCAACACTGTACCAACCAGGCCACTCAAATGGAACGCTACAGAAGCCTCGTCCATGTTGATGATCAACGGCGCCTTTGCGCTCTGGGCCAAGGCACCATTCACCCAACGGAAATAGGCAAAGGCCTCGCAAATCAGCCCAGAATACGACTCCCATTTTGGGAATCCAAAAACAACTCCCAAAACTGGAGTCGCCAACGTCAATCTTTTCTTTTCCTATCCTTTGCACCAGGACGGCTACCATTTTAGGAGTCGGAAAACAACTACCAAAAGTGGAGTCACAGTCCCCATAGCTTTTGTTAGGGGCCCGAACAAATAGTGGTACGATTTTGAAACTTGCCCTGCCTTCTCCTGCATGTCCTGGGGTGACAAACTTGAAATGTTTTTCAGCACCCCCAAACGAGCTCCCCATACTTGTCGGAAACGGCGCAGCCACTTCCGTTGCTGCCGCGCAGAGCTTCGCAAGGACGCCGCAACAGAGGCTTGCACTTCCAGCGGACACTCTAAAGGCACCAGTGCAAGGGCACGTCGGACCATTTGAAGCCTGCTGGGAGCCACTCCATGCTTGCAATTTTGTTGACAAAGCCACGTGTACAGGCGTCGCTGCAGGATGAAAGTGCAGGCAGCTGTCATCACTCGCAGGCTCCTGGCCATAAGGCATCGGTCATTCATCAAATCCACAATCTGGGGAGTTGGCTCTTGCGTGTAAACCTGCTCAAACATGCAGCGCATGTCTTCCATGCGGTCATCTGCAAGGCGCAACTTGAAAGCCAAGAATTGGGCAGCCATATCCAAGTCATGGCCGCTAAAAACATAAACCATAAGTGCTGAGCTTGCCATCTTGGGGCTTAAAAAGCCTTGCTGCGCATCCTCCTTCACGCGGCGACGACGCAGCTTCCGCTGCAAACACCGGATTCGGCGGGACACCTCCGCCAAATCACCGGACTCCATGAGGAACGTGTGGGAAATCAAACGAATTAAGGGCTACTTGCAAACAACCTCTTTCACTTGCTACCTCAACGAAAAAACGTGGGAAGTTTGTTTTGCACGACACATGAGTTGTAGCCACTTCATGAACGACTTTGCCACCTATAGATATCGTGACCATCGGCTCCTGTTTGGCGTGGAGTGTCATGTCAAACTACCCTGCTGCGTGGAGACTTCCTCACTTGATCACATTCACAAAAGTTGGAGACTACTGGATTTCAATGCTGTAAAGTTCTTGAGCTTAGCATGCACAGACAGGTGAGGCCGCACGCAACGGCGCCAAAAACACTCCGCATTCCGACTCCCAAACTGGAAACCCCCTCTTGTCCATTTTCCCACCAAAGACAGGATTCTATTACCTGCAGCTGAGGCTCCGGCTGCCGCTCGTGCTTTAGGGGCGGCTTTAGCTTTTGGTGGCATGGTCTCTGCAGCTACACACCACACACTGCTAAGAGCTAGACTGCTGAAAGCTGCGTGAAAAAGAAGCAACGCCCAACACAAAACTCGAAGCCAAGTGAGAATTGTGACTAGAGGCGTCCTACTTCCCCCGGGCCCCCTGCTGTGCAACGTTGTTCAAAATGGTTAGGTGTCCAGGTTGTATCTCAGCCCATGACAAAACAAAGGACCAACCCTCAGTGCTTCACTTCGGAAAACCAACATTGCCACTTTGGGGTGTTAGAGGGGAACCTGAAGACAAACCTTGACCTAGCCATTCAATATAGTCAACCTTTGCATTCAATGGAACCGTGGAAACGTGAAACAAACATCCTGTACCTCTGAGCTTCCGACGCCTGACCCAAACAAACACTTCGTACAGCAATGTCGCGAAGAATGAATCTACTGCAGCCTTACCAAGCTGACATGTGCGCCCATGAACGTGAAGCTTCCCTGAAACACACATCTGACCTCGAGACATGAAGGGCTGCCCCTCCGAGCTGTGGACCTGGCGAGATGGCGGTTGAGCACAAAATATACGTATATATCATGAAGCTGAACACTGCTACAATGCGAATCGTTGTGCTGTGTTGGCATTTCGCGGTGCACTAAACCGTTTGACACCACACATCACGCAGGCAAAAGCGCGCAGTGTCTAGAAATACGCTTCCCCCTTCACTTGCTAGCTAGAATACTTAGCCATAACCCACCAAACTCTTCGCACAGCAAGAACACGAAGAATGAGACTACTGCAGCCTAAGCAAGCTGGCATGTGCACCGATGAACCTGAAGCCTGAAGCTTCTCTGAAACACACATCTGAGCTCGAGACATGAAGGGCTGCCCCTCCCAGCTGTGGACCTGGCGAGATGGCGGGTGAGCACAAAAGTGCCTACGTATCATACAGTTAAGTGAGTGGTTTGCAGTCTGCACTGCTACAATGCGAATCGTTGTGCATTTTGCGGCGCTTAAACATCATGCAGGCGACTTATCTTTTCCCTTTGGGCTTTCAAGTTTCTAAGTCAAGCGGTCCTTGACTTTGCGGGCTTGCAAGGGCTTCAATCCGAGCTCAGAGATCAAATCTGCTTCGAACAAAGATGCCAGCATGCGGCCATCCACCCCATTCTCCCGAAAGGCTTCAATCACATGCCCCAACTCCAGATGTATGATGTACCTGCAGACGTCATCAACAGTCCAGGCCAAACACAACATTCTCTTGGGCTCAGGTGTCTCACCCGACGATGTAGCCTCCCTTTTCGCAGGCTCAGAGCGGTGGCTCCTTGCTTGCCCTAGCTCCAACACGAAATTTGCAAAACAGGACTTGCAACCTTTAGCCACCTGGCTGGGAATGTTGACTTTGTGCTTGAATTCAAACACTTTCAGCCGCTTCACCATCATGTCGACATCGCCCTGCTTCAGCTTCCCTTTCAAGGCATGCAAATCTGCTTGCAAGGTGGTAATGAAAATAGGGTCGTCTTTCGTGTAACGCAAGTGGCCGGAAAACAAATTCTGCGGCCTTGCGATGACAAAGCCAGCGCCTTCAAACCACAATAGCTGCACCGCCCAGGAGACGATGTCCTCATTAAACCTCCAGTCATCGAGCCAAACCACTCTGGCCTTTTCCAAGCCAAGCAAAGGGAAGGCACTCTTTGGAGGGGTCACCAAAACATTGTCTTCACCAAAGACCAAGGGCAAGGGGCGAAACAAAAAGCTTTTGCCTTCATTACCTTCAAACCCTGCGTGGCACACAAGGTTGCCTTTCGAACGTCCTGCTAAAAGCGAATCCGTCACCGCCTTGCACCACTGGACTGGATTGTGCCCATTTTGGCAAAGGATGTCTCGAGCAAAGTCGGCCCATTGTCCGCCACAAGTGCACTCAGCACTGCAAGCTCCTGCCAGGATGTCCATGCGGCTCTGCGCAGCTGCTGCAACCAAGTCCTCAACCTTCTCAGTCTTCCATGACTTGGCAACAATGGCAGGAAGCTTGTCCCAGTTGGCAAAACAAAACTCAACCAACGCTCGGCCACCACTGCGCTTGGCATACGACATCAACTTTTCTCTCGCACACTTCATCGGCAGGAATTTTTCCGGATAAGGTGGTGAAATTGGGTGGTGATGGGCCACAAATCCACTGCCCTCCGTCCTGCCCGGCCGAGAGAGGGGGATGTGATGATGGGTTGAAAGGGGAGAGCGGGGGGAGAAAAAACGGATAGAAGAAAAGGAGGGGGAGTGGGACGATGGAGAGGTAAAGAGATGGGTAGGAGAACAGGACGAGGGCTGTGAGAAGATGAGGGGGGGCGAAGAGTAGCGGGACGGAGGGGGGAGCAACGTAGGGATGAGGACGCGGGGGACGGGAAGGAGGAAAGAGGGCTGGGTAGGAGAGGGAGAGGTTGGGGAAGAGCTCCCGGCTTCCGCTCTCCCTTGCCTTTGGCTGCACGTTTGCGCCTTTGCTCCTCACGATGCACTTCCAAATTCTTGGCGCTCACATACCCTCTACTGGCCTCAGACAAAGGTGGGTGAGTGGAAGGCCACAACTCAGGTGCGGGATCCAATTCTTCCACGGCTTTTGTGGGTGAAGGCAAGTAGCAGTAGGCAATGCAGCCAGCATACCCGTCTGTTTTTCCAGACCAATGACTGGCTAGGCCATGCGCAGCCAGCAGTTGGCGCTTCAAGGCCACGAAGCGGAAAGACTTGTCGGCTAACACTGCCACATGGTAATGAACTTCACCTGATGCGTGGCGCTCCTGAAAGACTGCCATGTGTGTGAAGGTCAGAGGCAGCTCTCTGCTTGATTGGGTGGAAGCAAGAGCTCCTAAGAAAAAGTCTTTGACTTGCGCACGGGTGTAAGTCCCAGGAGCCACCAACTTTTGTCCATCTGAATTCTCTTCCTTGTCTGTGTGAGACAACGTCACTAGGTAAGCTCTCCTCGGCTTGTTGCACTCAGCACCAAGCTCTTCACTACAGCTGGACGGTTGGCTTGCTTTCTTAGCTTCAAGAGATTCCACCACTTCTTTCAGCAAGGCGCTGAACTCATCCTTTCGAGCCTCCAGCCCATCAGGCTCCATCCCGCAAGCAACTGCAACCTTGGCTCTACAGGGGAGGCCCAAAACTCCGAAGCCAATCCAAGGAGCAGCAAACGGTACCAAAAACAGGACCCCCCACATTAGACCCAGAACCACCAGAGCAACACCAGCCCTCAGCCTGCAGCGCATTCTGCTTGCCAGCTGCCTTTGCTTTTGCTTTGGGCGGCATCACCTGCAAGCACGCCACAACAAAGCAGCGTATCACAAACCCCAGACTTCTTCCATGCGAACAGAATCGCTGATAACATGTTTGGCCCTGAAACAACAAACCCAATGGCCCCCGCCCGTGCAAACGCCTGCAGCAAAAACACTTTCCGCGGTTCCCTGAGCAGTGGCTTCAGGCTGCTGTTTTCTCAACCACGCTGGACTGGGTAATCTTAACATGCAGCTTGCAAGCGAATTTCAGAGAGACACATTAGCAATCCAAACGTTTTCGCTCGGAGGACAAACAACCTGTTCCTAATTAAGCAACAAAACCACGGAAATGCACCACAACACGATTGCCAGCCTTGGAAAGCCAATCATGCGTGTCCAGCAATGACAAATTTTGCGTGGAGTAATTCAATGTCGCTACAATTGGAATTCGGAACAGATATTTCTCATATTTACATTGGCCACCAGGCGTGACACCAAACTCCAGCTGTACATTGTATTTGCCTTGAATCTTGTCCTGGTTCTCCGTCAAAAAGCTCAAATCTCGGACATCGTCTAAAATGATGCCATCGTGGGTCTTCCGATTGAATTCACGCAAACCGTCAGGGAAATGCAGGAGAGGACCAACCTTGAGTTCCAACGGGCTTCGAAACAAGGAGTTGGCATATTCGGTCTTGCCAGACATAGAGGCACCCAGGAGCAACAAAACAGGATACCGCAAGGCATCCATCTCGAAAAGCTTCAGCCAAGCGGTCACCTCTGCAATTTCCGGAAACGTTTTGTAGAGTTCAGGATTGGATCTGATTCTCTTCGTGTTGCTGGCAATGAGGCCTGAAGCTCTTGCTTTTCTTCTTCTTGCACGACAGCGTCTAAGTTGCGTTTTCGGGCTGGTACGCCATCCCTAGTCAAGTACAAGTACTCCTTGTACACCTCCGTTGTGACTTTCCGTTGCTTCCAAAGCTTCTCAGGCCATGCGCCCAAGACCTGGTAACGAAACAGCTCGTCTGTCCAGACAGGGGCATAGTTTCCGGCCACACAGAGTCCGCCACAAGACAGGCGAGCCGTGCCAATTTTGTTTGCCCAGACATAGAAAAATCCACGGTCTATGCTCATCTGCAGTTTCTTCCTGCACAAACCATCGCCACACAAGTCCGTTGGCGAGACATTTGGTTTAAGCCTTTCGAAAACAAAGCAGAAACGGTTCTATCAACTTCGGACTTGAACTGGAGCATGACATGGGCATGGAATTTGCCTGACGCACAAGTCTCCAATGTCGTGCACCAATGGCGCACTTTCCAAGGCTGGAGGTGATTGAGAACAAAGACATTCAAGGCAAGCCATTGGGCCGGATCAGCAAACCCATTGTAAGTAAGAAGGACTGATGTGCCTCGTACCCGATACTCATTGCGCTGCGCAGGAGCTGGAACCATTGACAAAGGATGCTCCGCACTTCTGCTGGCAGCAGAGCCATCACGAGCTTTTTTCTTCGCAAGCTCCCAAGAGGCTCTAGCTTCATTCAATTGCTGTTGGTGCCGCACATCTCTGCCACGATCTGGATGAGTCTTCAATACAAGCTTCCGGAACACTTTCACAATGTCATCATCGCTGGAATCCCGTGTGCAACTCGACTGCACGTTGTAGAGCGGAGCCAAGGCATGCAATAGAGCTACAAGAGCTCGTTTGGCCACAAGCACTGCCGAGCACCCCATGACTTTGCACAAACAGGAGTTGCCACGTCAAGTCACCCTCGAACAACAAAAATGGCGGCAACAGCCTTTGGATGTGGCAAAAAACAGCACAAAAACCATGATGTCCAGCTGCTACTCCGCCTACTCCGCTACTCCCGGCAAAGTGATGCCCCTAGATCCTATAGGCAGAAAGACATTTCAGGCAACAGTTCGGAGTAAGACGAACAAGAAAATTGAGATTTCCAGACGCTTTCTGCAGTCTAATTGCCATGATGTCCAGCTGCTACTCCGCCTACTCCGCTACTCCCGGCAAAGTGATGCCCCTAGATCCTATAGGCAGAAAGACATTTCGGGCAACAGGTCGGAGTAAGACGAACAAGAAAATTGAGATTTCCAGACGCTTTCTGCAGTCTAATTGCCTACTCCATCCCGTTTTAAATTAATACTATTATTGATTAGGGGGATGTACGGAATTGTCGGTGTACATGCTTCAGAGTTCACAAATGTTAGGAGTCTAGGGGGGAAAGGGGTACAGACAAAAGACTCAAGCCCGACTATCAGCACGCAGCACGCCCATTCTTGCCTGGAAGTTCCAGAAGAAGTGCGACCTTGGCGACACCGGAACCATGGGGAAAAAAATTGGCTACAATCGTGTGTCCTAGCTTTAGCTCTGCGAAACTACTTGCGATGTGGGGCAACAACGATCGTTCCTGACACGAATGGCTCCTATAATGCAACCTACTGTCTGACAAATCCGAGCTGTCCTAGTCCATCCAGTCTCATGGTCTCTCTCAGATGTGACTAGCTGCTTTGGGGTCCGCACGGCGCACTCCAAGAACAAATGGTCACTTGTGCTGTGGTGACTAGAGAAACGGCTGCAGCCACTAAGAGCACTCACATTGACAAGAACAGGTGCTACATTGACAAGAACAGGTCACGACATCGGCAACCCAAAAAAGCAATAAACAACTGCAAACCCAAATACACGTCATGGTGGTACAAACGGCTACTGCACAACCCCACAATTGCCAAGTCTGGTGGTGAAAGGCTTGCAAAACAGAACTGAGCTTGTTCAAATCACAACCTATCTTCTTTGAAGGTACAAGGAACTCAGACCCACCGCGAGGCAATGGAATGAAACGTTGTTGCATTGTTACACCAACAGTATGAAAACACAAAGCAGCAAAAGTCACACTGAGGCTACAAAACGCTTGACATGACATCAAAGCACAAAAGAATAACGAAACCCAACTTGTTTGGAGATGTTTGGTTTGCAAAGGGCGCGAACGCACGCAACGCGACAATGCTTGGAGGTACATAAAGTCGGTCACCGCACAAGCAACGAGTTACACGCCGAAGATAGTTGGAGTCTAGAACTCCCAGCGCAAGCGTAACGTATCCGTACGTCCTGCAACTATTCCAGGAAGTACGGCTCCATGCCGTTATTAACCCGTTAGTGTACCGACGCACGGGTGAAACGGTGCATACGGAACTCTTCCCACCCACCCACCAATGGTTTTTGAAAGCCAACCCGTTCACACCGGTGTTTAACGTGTACACACCCCTGGTGTTTAAGGTGAACCACACCGGTGTTTAAGGTGTACCACACCCCTGGTGTTTAAGGTGTACCACACCAGTGTTTAAGGTGTACCACACCCCTGGTGTTTAAGGTGAACCACACCGGTGTTTAAGGTGTACCACACCCCTGGTGTTTAAGGTAAACCACACCGGTGTTTAAGGTGTACCACACCCCCGGTGTTTAAGGTGAACCACACCAGTGTTTAAGGTGTACCGCCACCACGGTGTTTAAGGTGAACCACACCGGTGTTTAAGGTGTACCACACCCCCGGTGTTTAAGGTGAACCACACCAGTGTTTAAGGTGTACCACCACCACGGTGTGTAAGGTACACCCCACCTGCAACCCTGCAAGGCCGCCTACGACCCTGAAACCTCCACCTACGACCCTTCCAGGTCACACCTGCGACCTGGAAATCTCCTTGTATAGGGAGCGCACCTACGACCCACAAACCTCCACTTATGACAATTCCAAGTCACACCTACCACCTGCATATCCCCTTGTAGGGAGCGCGCCTACACCCAACGATTCACTACCCAACGAGTGCAAATGTTTCTGGTTGCTTATGTGCTGCACACAAATTCCCGCGCTTCTGCGTGAACATGGCCACACGCAAAACCACGCGTATGTTTTGAGCAACAAAACTACAAGTAGTCGCTGTACATTACACACCGTCCAGAAACAGTGACAAAATTTGCAGCATTGTAGAGATTAAGTCACTAGAGCAATTTCTTTCCGAAACTGTGAGCGACATTGCTCATCTTACAAAGAAGCTGCAAAATGACAGCTCTTTTTCCCAGCAGATTGGCCTCGAGTTACACTGGGCAAAACTTCGGCTCCATGCGTCTGCTTGCCAGCTCGAAAAATGGAGGAAGGTCGAAAAATGCTCTTTACACACATACAGTTGCTCTCACTTAGCCTCGGAGGCCGGCCCCTCCACTTCCTTTGCCTTGGATGGAAAGCGAAAGCATGAAAACGAAAATGGGGGAGACGCTGGGAATGATCTTACACAATCAAAAGAAGGCCACCCGGCCTCCTCAACTTCCTTGCTCTTTGCATCTAGGAGGAGTTGCAGATCTGCCTTTGACAACCCTTTGGCAGCCTGCCATTCATGAACATGAGGACACACAGCGTCCTGCACGTGAAAGTCCGCCCAGCACTCACGCAGAGGCAGAGAGGCGCCTTGATTAGACGGGTCCGTTTGCAGAGGGCATTCGTTTCCATCTTCTTGGCTTCGCGGGCTGCTTTCTTCGCAGCTTCATGCTTGTGCTTCAAATCTTGGAGCTGTTCACACAGCACGGCCTCACACATAACAGACTACAGTCGTCCCCAAAATCACCCCAACACAGATTCCCAAGGATAGGATGCCCACTCAAGGTGAACTGGCATGGGGGGGCATGGATCACTGGGTGATGCCAGGCTGAATGCGATGACTACCTACCTGCCTGGCTTCACCTACTCAACTGTCCACCTGACGAACTCTAAACGACATGCGTGTGGACATGCATCAGCGCCCCGTGAACTACAAGACTGCCGCACGATCTTTTTGCAAACAAACTTGTTT